GCTCTCATAAGCTGACAATGTTGAAAATAGATTGTAACACGCGATCTAACGCAAGTGACTAGCGTGGGAAAAAAGTCATGTCAGCGCGGAACAATGAAAATGACGGCGGTTTCTGTTTTGGTCAATAGCGCTCAGATTTCATTGCCAGTTTGACGATATCAGCCATTTGTTTCTCAGCTCAAGACCTCATGAGCCATTTTTTTATTTGAGTTTGCTGACCTGACCACCGAAAAGGTCTCAATATTCTCCTACCACAGACCGATTTATGATTCACCATGTGCGACTTCAAAATACTGTATTGTGAAAACGAAAAAAGAAAAAAAGAAAAAAGAAAAAAAGAAAACTGACAGAACTTCGTGTGAATCTTTAAAAAAGATTTTCTACCGGGAATGGACAATTCATTCTCCGGAATATTCGCTGTGTTTACCGATCAATACACCATGCTTTATTCGCCTGCGCGAGGTTATTTAAAAACACAGCACTTGTTCCGGCGTGAAGGCTGTTTCCATAGCCTGCGAAAACAGCCGTCCTTCTTCGCTCCCGGCCCGAGTGGCTTTTTTTCCAGAAATTCATCTGAAAATAGCGTTCTTTAGATAAAGGCAGCTGTAGAAAATTGTCTCGAACCTTGCATATAAACGTGCATAGTTTAGTGTGCGATACCATTTTCTAGCATAACTCGTCGTTCGGCAGTTTTTTTGAAGTTTGGCTCCGAGAAACTTTTTATGACGATGTCCCTCGCTGAAGGTAAAATTTCATGTCCTTTTTTGNGGGGGGGGGGGTCTTGATAATGCAATTTGAGATTTTTCTCAGTGTTAGGAAGAGAGATGTCTTAAACTCGGATTCATACATGAAAAAAAAAAAATTAGTTGTTTTGCCGTTAAAACCTGACAATTAATGAACTGTTTCTACGTGGCGCGGTGGCCTCATGGTTAGTGTGCTCGACTCCGGATCGAGCGGTCCGGTTCTTCGGCAGGACACTTAACTCTCACAGTGCCTCTCTGCGCTAAGTGTATGAATGGGTACCGGCGAACTTAATACTGCGGATAACCCTGAGATGGACTAGCATCCCATCCAGTGGATAGAAGAAATACTCCTAGTCGCTTCATGCTACTTTAACCGGGATAAGGCCCGGCCTGATCAGTGGGCCACTTGGCTCGTATACAGACTTTACCTACCTTTTACGTTTCCTATAACTTCACTACCTTCAATAGACTATGCACGAAACGAGTACAAATATCTCCGTGCCATTTCTTCTCTAGGTCTCCGATTTAACAGGATCTCAGTATCGACATTGTGATTGTGCAAGAGCGACAAACACGATTTAAAGTTATGTTTTTGAGAAAAAAAAAAGCCTTAGATGACAATAAATATGTTGTAAGACATTGTTTTTTTAACGCGTATTATCGCTGCTCAGTATTTGCATTTTATTCCTCGCCCTGCGGACTCGCCATATTACGGTAAGACTAAGTTCAGCGATGCTGCGCACCAAAATGTCTAATAAGATTTTAATACCGAAACATTCCTGAGAAAGTAAAGAAATCGTGAGCGAAACATTTTTTTTTATATAGCTGATGATTTTCTATCGCCTATGTGCCTGGCAATTTCGTGATCTTCTGAGGAGAAATTAGTGTTTGACCGTAGTCGCTCTTAGTTGGAGGACAACAGTTAGGTCTTGGTTAGAAGTGAAGCCGCAGTCTTCATTTCTGTGTGTTAATTTTCAACTCAACCTCACGGTTTACATTTTATGCCTACAATTGTTGTCAGAACTTCCCGAACTACCTCTCCCTTCAATTAAACCGGATGTCGAGAAAGACGTATAGACGTATTGAGCATTTTTTTTTTTTTTGCCTGGCTCGATGATCCGAAAACAAATAGTTATTTTTGGAGTCGATTTCGTTCTAGTCATCACTTTCCGAAGAAGCTGTTGTACTGCGCCGGTTGACAAGTGAGACACTTCGCTATTTATCAATTTGTCGATGGTAAAGATAAATGACCTTGAAGGCTCGTTTCACATGTAGCCAGTAGCTCTGCGTTTGAAAGATGCTTTGGAGAAATTCGTTTGATCGTACATGTTTTAATCTTTTTGCGGTGATTAGAACGTTAGGGTGATGTTGGGCCAAGTTCATAGTTTGTATTCTAGATGAATCGAATGACGCCGCAAAATGAGGAAGCCCGTTGAGTTCCATTGGAATCACGTGCGGTGAAAAATTGACAACTTTGAAAGGGATTTCTTACAATCGGAGATCATAGGAAAGAACACATGATCAAAACTGAAATAACCTAAATACAGCTTTAAATAATGATATATAGATATAGATATATATATATTTTTTATTTTCTCTTTCTCTCTGTTCACTTATTACGATAACATTTAAAAATCAGTCTGATTTACGTATACACCGAGGGTAATAAACAACAGGGGTTGTCCTGTGGACAAATCATGGCACTCGCTGTTTTGGTATTAAACCCAAAAAAATTTCAGACAAAGTCATTTTATCCGGTTTGCTTTAGGCTAGAGGAATTTAATTTAGACGAATATAATGCGAGATTGTCTAAATCCAGTCGCATTCGGTGTTGTCTGCGAAAATATGAACTCATTTCAAATCGTTTTACATGCCATGTTCACTAGTGATAGACGCAATATCCGGACTGCTGTTTTCATTGTAGACGTAGGGAATCGTCGAAGTTTTATCGAGAAGAGTTGTGTTTATATCGGAAAATCGTCTAGAAAAAGCTGTTGTGGCTACAGTGGTCAGACTCAACTTAATACTGGTTTTCCTCAGGGTTAAATTTTTCGCATAAATCCTATTGATTTATTAAATTTGTTCAACGTACGCCTAATAGATCGTTTGCGACTGACTTCATCGCCGCCATGTTGGACCGTCATGAACAAAAGAATCCTAATTAGCTTTATTGTTCCCACATGGCCGCCAAGGTCTCTGTCATTTGAATATCTCAGGAATGGTTGCCAACAAAAATAACCCTGCTTTCGATCCAGATCGAAATATGAATTCTCGTTAAGGATTGTCATAGATTTTTCTCAGTACTAGTTCAGAGAATTTGTTGCGACCACCTACGAACGGGCATAACATAAAAACCCCAAGTCAATGCCAGATTGAAATGTGAATTCTCCCTAAGAACTGCCATAAATTTCTCTTTGTGTCAGTTCGGAGAATTTTGTGGTATATCAAGACAATAGTACTCGGTTGAGGATTTTGGGTGTTGTCGTTGAACAGAGCAATTTAGTATTGGCCCGGCCGAAAGAATCGGTAATCAATATATAGAGCGGAGTTTGTGATGTTCAATATTTTGCCGGTTCAAATCGAAGTGAGCCTCACGATGTTAGTTTCCTAAGGTCGAAAAACGCAGAAGAATTGACAATAAATCAAATATGGAACAAGCATGCGGAAGAGCATGGCGGATTACGAATGAAGAATAGTTGGATAATTTAGATCGTAGACGATGCGTGGTTGCTCTGAAAAAAAAAAAAAAAAANAGAAGATAGAAAATTATCCCGCTTCTCTTTTTGCATAAGGTTGTGCTTCCAGTAACTTCCTTCTGCAGGCCTGTGGCAGCAATTTTGAGTGACAGGCAGCTGTCTAAAGAAATTTGTTGGCTTTCCACGTGGGTATGCACCAAAACATTGAACACGAGACAAGATCTTGAAAATGTAAACGGTCAATTATCTTGAACTGTCGAATAGTAAGAGCATTTGGATAATAAGTCAGCTGTCCCGTTCTCAGTCATTTAGTTCCTGCAATATAAGGTTTTCCTCGCTGCGTAATTCGATCGTTCAAATTCGCTTTCAATAATATTAAGCCACACAAAATGTGCTCTCGATGCCAATTAAATTTATGGAAAAAGACACAGATGTCTTTCGAGAACTTTCTCTCGGTCCTTGTTGTGGTATATTGTTCCTGTTGATTTATGCATCGATAGATTCACCTCGGATCGTGTTGTGGTCACTTCTGCTCTTTTCGCGCTGGTATCTGTTGCTCGAGCACGTATGATCAAGATTCAGTTCTGTTGAACACTCTGCAGTCTCAAACGATCCGTTCTTTTCTCTGATATGGCTACAGGTCGGCGTGGGAGTCATCTGTCTGAAATGTCGCAAAGTCTCGCAGGTTTGCGCTTAATATGTTCTTCATTGTCTTTCCTATTCTTTTCCTTTTTTTTTTTTTTTATGTTCAGTTTGAAGATGAACAATCGGGAGATTTCAGTTTGTTTCTCGAGTTTTTGTTTTTATCACTACAGTAGTGCGTCGTTTTAAAGCGACTGAGTTATCTGAACTTGGTTTGCTTGCGTATAAAAGTTTATGAGGTCTCTTTTTGTCTTTACCAGAGAAATGACATTTTTGTTCAATGAACACTTAGGGCTGAATGTTTGTCATATTCCGAGTTCTTTATACCGTAACAAAGTATCAAGAAAATAATTTTAAAAGTCGTTTTGTGACGCCCACGCGCCTAAGTGTACAGCTCTGTATACCAGATCATTTGTGTAGGAATAACATGCGGCTTTCATAAACATACCTCTCTTTTAAAAAAAATCTTGCCTGTATTTTATTTTTGTGCTTGGATTGATGAGTATTTGACATGGAATAGATGGCACAGGGTGGAAATGTTTTCTCGATCATAGAGCCTGGTGCGTTTAAATCTAGACGTCGCACGTTTGATAAAAATCATATTGAATAAACCCCGTGACTTAACCGTGTTTTTTAAGTAAATTATTCGCTGTCGAAGAAACCGAATAAAGGTCAATTCATGTTGTTAGAATTCAGATCGTGTTATTTAGAATAATTTATTTTCTATATATTAAATATACGAAGGGATATTCTCAAATTGCACGATAGCTTTCACGCGCGACTTGAATTTTATTTTATTTTTTGATCGGGACACCAATAACGAATGGTTAAAGTTAGAACTTTTTACCCTAGGGTGAAAATTGTGTGACAAAATGCAACGCAGTTCCTATTAGCTTCTTATTTCTCCTGTTTATTTCAGATACCGTGATGGGACGCTTTAAGTCAGCTGGAAGGTGAGTCATTTTATATATTCAATCAATATTTCGACGTTTTCCGGCTGTAGTGAAAAAATTGATTACATTGACTCATTTCAATAGTAATAAGTCCTTTTTATTTTCTTTGCTGTGCGAAACTATAGATTATATTTCACCAGTTATATGATTCAACGATAATTTATCAGTGGTGTTCTGTAAAAAGCGGAAATTACTTTGCCGTCGGTAACCTCTTCAAAAACCATCGACCCATAGAAAGTTCGTAGCCTTTCATGGACTTACAAAGTATCAATTGTTTTACTCGCACGAAACTGGCAAAACTGTGGGTACTTTTCACCCATTGCCATATGACTGCATTTCCTTTTTAGAAATTCTAGTTTATGATACGTGATGACTTCATGTTCTTGGCGATTTTCTGGCCTTAATCTTGTAACCTTGTCGGCTCAACAAGCTGTCGATAAAGTAGCGGGGATGTCGATATCTCTTGTCGTCTTACATTCAGAGAACAACTTACAGTTTGAAAAAAACAATACGGCTGTTTGTTACAACTTTCATTGGTGTTCTGCCTAACACGCCTTCAGCTGAGACATCCATATTGTAATTACAACGCTGTGGGCCTATGATTATTTAAACTGACCTCATGTAATAACCACATTGGAAAATTATCGCTTGCTTCCATCGGTAAACTATAACAGTGCGATCGAAATTCTGAACTTTTTACGACTCCCAGCTCTTAAGCACAGCTCGAAATCTAAATTTCGGAGGAAACGGCGGATTTTTCTTTGGTACCGTTTGAGAAGTTCATCGCGGGTTGAGGTTTGTCTTGTGAGAATTTCTGGAAACTTCTACCTGTCCATTATAAAACTATCGTGATCGATTCCCAGCATGTGGTATTAAGCAATTTCTTCCACGCGGTAAAAAAGGCCAAACCCTTTCCCTTATGGCCAATTTAAAGTGTTGGAGGTCTTTTTAATTTCCTTTCTTTCAAATTACAACATTTAAAGTGAGCTTCCAGCCTGTAGCAAATAAAACTGACAAGAAGAAGTTTAATTGATTTTCTTGAGTTCAGGTTAGGGTCTTCGAAACATACACCTTGCTTTAATTTTGCAAGATTGGAAAATGCCAGTTTGGAAAGATTAGAGATTATCGGTTTGAACAAATGTCTATCAAAACAAAATATTTTTTCCTCTTTCAGACTACTCTTTTGATCGTTGTCGGTGGCCGCAATTATGCAAAAATCTTCACTTCGAAATTTCTGGAGTTTAGATTTTAATTAACGGGGTTCAAATCTGTCAGCGATCCAATGGGATAAGGCCGATGGTGACAATAAGTTATTTTCACAAAGGAAATATTCCTGTGGTGAAATTTACACTTAAGACTCATTTAACCCTGACCCAGCGGTTTTCAAACTTTCCCAAAATTACTGCCTTCATTCAGCCAAGCCAATTTATAATTATACCATGTACTTCAAAGGGGAAAAAAGAGAGTTATCACAGCTGAATCATTACAGGCTGTGAACGCAGCTTGCTAAAAATCTCGCTGATCATTGTCAGGATTCGTGTATAAGTTTTCTGTTGCATTGCTAAGTAATTTCACGTTGTTCGAGAAAGATCTATCGATAAGCATCGCAGGTAGACCACAAAACCTCTAAGTGTGCGCTATTGTCTTGCTTTCTCTGAGCTATCAATTAGTGCTTGATTGCGGACAGTTGGTCGCCAACAAAGCACTTAGGCAGCCATAAGACGAATAAATTTGAAAGCGAATAAAACCCAGCTCTTTGATCGTGGCTTGCGCGTCCTAAAGACAGAATAGGCTTTTCGCCATGAAGTACTTTGGCGTAAACCTGGGACGTCCAGCTCAACACTGAACAAAATTCGAAAAGACGTTTCACTTCTTTGCAACAGCTTTTCTAGATATGTTATTTAAACTTCGACAAACGAGCAGTCTATTGCCGTGGTTCTAATCTGTCTTGTGGTTATTCCGAGAATGCACGAGTGTACGTTAATTTTGATGATATTTATTGTTCAGCACTGTGTCATGCAACTGAAACACCTCGAGAGCAGAACAGGCACAATGCCTTCAGGCGGACTTCAATTCAAGAAGCAAGCCGCGATACACGTTCTTCTTGGGACTACGCAAAATACACATGCGCGCAATTCAAAGCGCACGTGGCCACTCTGCAGCGCACGCTTAACACTTGGTAACACTTTGTTCTCGGAACACGTGCGAGGAAAAATACGCATGCGCATTGTTTAATTTGTGCATGAAGCTAAGCATGTATTTAATTCTGAACTTTCTAGCACTGTTAGTTTGTTTAAGCACAAATTTAACACAAAACGGAGTATTTTCTTCGGTTTCGCATCCCTTTGTTATTTATGTTTTGTTTTGTTTTGTTTTGTTTTGTTTTGTTTTGTTTTGTTTTGTTTTGTTTTGTTTTGTTTTGTTTTGTTTTGTTTTGTTTTGTTTTGTTTTGTTTTGTTTTGTTTTTTTCGCTGTGGTTGTTTTTGGTGAGAATTTTGAGCCAGCTGAACTTAACGGGTGGGCTACATATTAAAAGAAAACTTGGTCCAGGTGGATATCCATTTTAAATAAAGCTCACAAAAAAAATTACCAACGAATTCGGTTAACGAATCCCCGATTAACGTAGCGGTTTACGTTCACTCATTACTTGTAATTTGCCTGTGTTAAGTTTTGCAATTTACTACTTGACTTGAAGACATAAACCTCATTGTTAGCTGGAAAATCGTTTCCTAAATTTCAAACGAATTTACCTTGGGAGATTCAGGAACCAAAACCTTAAAATGAGAGAGATAAAGAGATAAATTTCGCCAAGAAAACTTACAAAACCAACAGCCCTTCGTGAAAGTACTGTTCAGTACTCAGCTGATATTGAATCGAAACCTTTGGCCTTTGAGGCTTGGACTCGAAATTTCTGAAAACCTCATAACACGATTTACGGTTGCGCTTCAGGAGAGATTTCAACCCTGTTGATACAGAGCAGTTTAAAGTTACTGTACATTAAGGAGTGAGAAGTGAGATATGTCTAGACAAATTTCGCAAATTGTATGAACATCTCAAGGCGCATTTGAAGGGTGTGTATAATTTCAGTTAAGCTTCCCTTTTAGCCAGGAGAAATTGCCTTTTTCTTTGCCAGAGTTTTTCAAAAGCTGGAATTTTTTTTTGTGTTCAGTAATCTAGAATCTACTGTCGCCAGTCTAGTTCAACCGGTAGTTCGGAAGTAACCCATGAAAACGAGGCGTGGTTAGGCTGTCGCGAAGCGTGTCGCTCAGTTAGTCGGGTCACGGAGGTTAAGTTTGTTATTCATTTTATCTTTGTTTATGAATTTACAATTCCAATCCTTAATTGACCCGTAGGCCAAAACACCAAGAATATTAGATACAAAGATACTTCTTTCCGACATGCATCTTCTAGAAGTTGTTTGTTTGGAAATAAATCCCAGGCGTGCGTTTTAGGTTGTTCAGTAATATCCCAGCGTGTCACCAGGTTGTTATCTGTATTCAAATTGTACGGCACTAATTAATGTGCAAGAGCTGAGGCCATTATGAGATTTTCTTATTAGGTATGCAGTTCCAGTTTAAAAGAGCGACGTCTTCTGCAAACGAAGCTTCTGCTCCGCAATTCCCTTGGACAATTTGCGCGCGTTCAATTCCGCGGTTAAAGTTTTAAAATTACACTGGCGACAGCTAAGAATATCAGAACTGTTTATCTTTGTAATTGCCTTGAAATACGATCGTAAACTCAAATCAGCGGTAGATCACGCGATGGCTGGTCCGATCATTTCAAAACATTTCAATAACGTGACCCAAGCATGATGTTAAGTCGAAAATACCTTCGACAACAAAGTTCACTGTTTTATCGTTTGCTCATCCAGATAGTTTTGAGGGTTCTATCCTCAAGGGAAAAAGAGAGGAAAGCAACGTGAAATCGTATTTGACTTTTAAACAAAACCCTAGAAACCAGAATTGCAGAACCCGATTATTTCATTTGACGACCTATTGCTCTATTCCGTGGATGAAAAGCATCAATAAAGAAATTTGTTTTGGACGTAGGAAGTTATGTACAAATTTTATTTTTTTTAGGAAACAAATGAAGTGTACGTGTGAAGAGCTTGTTTTATTTCATTAAATGACAAATGCTTCGACCCTTCAAATTCAAAGAAATACGTATGACAATAATACAACATCCAAGAGAGCATTTCATTGTTATTGTAATTTTCTCTCCGATCCGGCTAATTTTGTTCATTTGTGCAAACAACCAGTTTTGGAGCCTAATCGGGTTAATGTGAAAATATTATAATCAAGAGATTTCAGCCTACTAAAATGACCGAATTATTTTTAAGTATTCTCCGTTGACCATTCATGAATTAGTTTTAAGAGCATGATTTCTTTATGGTATGTTCAGCATTTTTCGTTGAGGTCGTCGGCATAAAAAAGTCTTGAAACTCCCGTTAAAAACTCGACTTTAAAATTTGTCGGAAAAGCTTGCCGTTCGGCGTTGGTGAGCTTCTAAGCAACTCGCTGCCTAGAAGCCAAAAGCCAGTTTGAAGAATTTGCTTCCCTATCCATTCGTTCTAGAAACTTCGATTTTGCATTTGGTACGTTTGCTGAAACATAAGACTTGTTTGATTTCTTATGCAAACAACTTGGAAGACACACGTCGAATAAGAGATAACATATTCAGTCAACCTTAATTTCGCGGGCTGATGTTTTGGCTTGGAACATTCTAGAACAAGTTCTTAACCGGCCGAAATGAAACCATGTAAACAAGATGGATTTCACTTCGCTTTGACTGCTCCGCATTATTTTCGTTGAGGGAAAAGAGCCCTCTTATTTGCGCTTCAAAGTTTTTTTAGATTTCACCGGCGAAATTGGTGATAATTTGGAGACGCGTCAAGTGTTACGTAAAGCATTATAACCCCGAGCAATTTGCAGGTACAGTGTATATTGCCGTGTCATCGAAGCCAAACGTGATTTCGTCGCACTCAACCGTGCCAAAAATTGGCGAGGCACATCGCTAGCAGACGTGTAGAAAACGTGTAACCTGTACAAGAAAGCTTTTCAGGACGTATCTCCTGCATGACCGGGACGCATCTACGAGTAACTACAAGTTAGTTTCGGTGGCAGTGTAAATTGCTCAGTTCCGATGTCCTTGTGCAGCTCTCGACTGGTGTTACCATTGTGATTAAGGAAGAAGCTGTAACGCTTCACGTTTCCGAACGGAAGCATAGTCGGCGCCGGGGACTCCACCAACATGGCTGACAAAAGTCCGGATCACTTTGAGGAACTTAAGAAAAGGTTTGCTTTCATTTCTTTACTCTCGAATCGTTCGTGCTCGGTGTGGACAATTTTCATTTCAAATTGCGCTTAAAGAACTCATTAATGGTCCCCTTAATTCTTTATCGTTGTCCAAAATGCTGACAATGGTTTGCTTAGATTTGCGTTTGGAAAGAATCGTGGTTTAGGTAAATAAACGCCTCCTTGAGAAGGATCGAAAAGGAACCGAAACCATTTTGTTTTATTTTTAATTTTTCAGCTTTATTTTTCGCTGTAGCCCTGAACTGATTGTCTTTGTGGAAATTGTAACACTCAGTTTTAATTCTCTTTTGTGACTTTGAATTTATCTTAGCAGCGATTCTTCAGTTCTCAGTGCTTGCTTAGCATTTTGATGTTTCTCTTTGGTCAATTTGAACTAAACAAAGTACGTGTTGTGAAAGTGTCTTGGTCAATGATCAAAACCCGCCGAACAAAGCGGGATGTTTATGTGATATATCGATCTATCATTGATAGCGACCGGAGTCGTTCTGTGCTCGGCCGGCTTATTTGTACAATAAAGCAACGCGTCGAGAAGATACTTCATCTGCGGTCTTGACCCAAATTTTAACTACATGCTTTTTTTTTTTTTTAAATTATGCCATTTGGTGAAAGAAATGAACATGTACTTGAACATGTGATACCTGGGATTTTGTGGGTTGTACATTGTCTTCAATGCGATATGACCTGTACTTTTGTCAACTGTTAGTATCGTTGACTTGGTACAGTCGTTGAACGTTTAGAGTTTCCCAAGATCTGCAGTGTACTGCATCTGTTTTCTGATTTATAAGAGGCCTCGTGGAGCTGAATCGAGAAACTTTCTTCTTTTTTTCTCATGACCAAACGCAGTTATCATGTTATAAATTTACTTTGACTGCAAGGTCGGAGGGCGCGCGGAAAACAAAACAATATGCAAGTTCGCGAGTTCTGTTTTTGAATTCTGTCTCGTTATCGCAATGATCTGGAACAACTTATCTGTATTTTTTGTAGCACATTTCTAGAATTTTCGATTATATTTGGTTTAGCACTGGAAAATCATTATAACGCGCAGAAAAGATGCTTGCACTCTCACACCCCACCCATTGTTTTTCTTGCAATCCGCAGATCAATACAATGTACCTCTCTGCTCGTTGTGTTGTTTAGTCTACGCCTTTCTATTTTAGGAGCTTATAAGATTCCTGACTATGCTATTAATTGCTTAGACCAAGTCTGCTTTAAAATTAGCCAGCTACCTCAACTTGGATATCTTAAGACTGTCTCAGAAGTCACCAACGGAAGGACTCCGGGCGCTTGCGTCGTGTCTGACCTCTAGTCTCTTTCCGCTTTCATACTTCACCTAAAACTTAATTTTAATCGCTAGTTATGAGCGATGTTTAGTGCTGTTGCTAGTGCAGTCTGGTTCTCGTAAAACAACTGCTACTGTGAGCGAAAAAGGTTGTGCTACAGGTAAAAAGGTGAACGGAGGAATTGATCGGTGTTTGGTGTCGATTTTTGAAGCAATTTGAGGGCCAAATGAAAGGTCATTAATTATATGGTAATGAAAAAGTGATATTCAAATCCACGTATTCCGACAATAACAAGAACTTCTAGATCTTTCGATTTTCCCAAAATAACCCATTTGGATCACGTCTTCATTCGAGATGAAATTTTGAAATTTCTTTAGTTAAAAAAATGCTGCGAATATTCTTGCTCATTATACCGGCTGAAGGAAAGCAGTTATTTTAGTTGTATCGCTTCCTTTTAGTCACAGATTCTGTAGAGGTTCTTTCAGTCGATGTAGCATTCTGTAAACAACATACCGGCCGGTGAGGAAAATTATTCACATAAACTCCCTAGGTTCGGTATTTTTGGCAAGGCAAATATATAAATTTGAAAGGAATAGGTAAAAGCAAGTGACAAGGATCGTCTTTTGGTAAAAGAAAGTGAAACTGGCTCAATTTGGCTAAATTGCTTTAAGTGCTGAATGGCTACTCACTTCATACGCGGACGTGGTACGATGTTAATAATTGGCGCCATTTGTCAAGAAATTTTCCAAACAAAAGTGAAAACTGCCTTAACGTCTCAGTGCAATACTAGCGTTTTCTACAAGCACGCTTCGCGGACCTGCTTTTTTATTTTTTTGGTAAACCGTGTGAGTGCTCAAGAACATGTCATTAACAAAAGCAAACGACATGTGTCTTTCGTGGAAGTATGCGGTGCTGCACGAAATAGGTGCATTACGACCGAAACGTCTCCTTTATTTCCTTGTCTTCCACAGAGTGCATCTTTAAAATGTCCCAAGTTATGTTACTTCAAAGTTCAATGAAAGTTGATTGCGCGGATGACTCCGAAAGTGCCCGACAATGATCCTAAAACTGCGTAACACTTGCGAAAATTAGTCGTGTGAATTTTTCAGTGTAAGTTTGTGGACACCGGTGATTACGCAGTTCCTACGATCCTTGTGAATGTTCTCCGGTTTTTCATTCGTGGATATAGCTGTTATCTATAATTCCACATTTCCTTTTGTTTTACACGGGGGGACTTATGAGAGACTGCCATGAAGATTTGTCAATCCTTGTTACAGATTTCTCTTTCTCTTTTGTTGCAGTCTTTCTGGTGACAGCGAAAGAATATTAACCGATCTACTCAATTCACCTGGGTTTTCCTCTGACTTCTTTTCGCTGGATGAAGACAAGTTAAGCACTGAAAAGGCCGGAGATACTGTCCGTATTGCATGCCTTGACATCGGAAATTATCGCCCGGAAGACATGACACTGCGAGTTGAAGGTGACCACGTGTTACTGCAAGGAAAGCGGACCCAGAGAATCAACATGGGAGTGGAGGGTGCGAAGTTTTCAAGAGCTATCCCCATACCCCAGGGGGTGAACCCTAAGCGAATTACAGCAAGGTATAACGCTCTAGATGGACAGTATATCGTTGAAGGAGTCAAAGAGAAATCCTCATCTTGCAAAAGGAGAAATACTAGTACTGCGTATTTTGATGAGACTAAAATGACACTGACAGTTGAATTGGGTAGTCCGAGGGCTCAAGAACTTGTTTATGCGAATGATAATTTAGGGATGAATCGCGCTGAAGGCGCGGTAAGGAACATGAGTAATATGGTCAAAACGACAACTGATAAAGATAAAGTTGTGATATAGAGTGACGCAGTTTATGGTGAATGTTTTGCCCATATGACTCGGAGAGTTGAAAATTTTGAGACATGCGTCCGAACGCAAGCTAAGGCGAGGGTAAGGTGCTGCCTTATTTGTATGGGATGGCCACGTTCATTTATATTTCCCGTTCATTTTTGTTCTTACATTTTCGTTAGTCGAGGCTTAGCCGTTCACTTTGATCTCAAGCAATGTGTGAGTACTGCAATACTTGTATAGATTTTGATATGTTAGGTTGCAAGTTGTTTTCCAAATACGTTCATTTTCATCTCGCTGTCAGTGAAATCGTTTTCATTCATAAAAAAAATAACAGTCGCTTGGCTATTTTTTTTTCCCTTCGCGATAAAAACACAGCAAGCCAAAAAGGCGTCTGGATTATCAATACCTTGATTCTTCCTACCTGAGTACACAAGGTTTACCTTTCTTTTAGTTTTTAAATGGAATTTTAATTGCGACGCCATTTTGTCACGCAAGTTAGTGGCCTCCAACGCAGACGTTCTTAGGGCTCGTCACGCCCCCCCCCCCCCCCCTTAGGTAAGTGGCCATAGACCGCAAGAGATAAGTTTGTTTGGGTTAGTGACACTTAAGTGTGTCAGAAACCAAGAGTGATCGATTACGAAATAGGATTATCAGCAAGCTTAGGTTGTATAACAGTCTCTACGTACAAAGAAAATACCGAGGAAGTGTACGAGACTCGCGTGAAAAATGAGCCTGAAGCCGAATACACGCTCGCAGCGCGATGCCCTCGCGCGTCACGCAAGAGACTGCTGGCAATTATCGCTTTTTCCATTGCAGAAGTAATCATAGTTAGGGTTTGTGAAACGTGTGAAATTAAGAAAAACAATAATTGAAACCAAAAAACACTATTTAATTAAAACTTTTTGCTAGTGTGACTAAATACAGAAGGAAATTAAATGATGGAATAAAAGGTTAGAACAAGTTTGTCATTGGTGGTCTACTACGATTAGACAAAGCCCCCGTAGTAACAAAGCAACTATGCCAGCTAATCCCCGTTCGCGGCGGCAGTCTTCCAAACGATTGTGCTGGTGTCGCTCGCCACACCCTCACGAGTCACGCAGACGTTGGTGTCCATAAGGTCACGCAAAGCTAAGCTTGGGTTTCTCATGGGAAGCTGGATGTGATATAGGGAGCCTTTTTACTTTTGAGATTTGGTGGTGGTTGTTAATTTTTTTTTTTTTTTTTTTTTTTTTTTNGGGGGGGATATCCATCCCAAATTAGAAACAAACGAGTTCGTTTTTAAGTAATGTCTGACTCTTTTTTCCCCAAAAAGGTAGCGCACGTTCGAAGGAAAAGAAAATTTTAAAACAAAAGTAGTCCCTGAAACTGCCAGAAAACCGCGCGGGACCATTCGGGACAGTGTCCGCTCTAATACGAAGACATTTCGACCGGCAAGAGAGCAATATGGCTAGTTGACGTTAGTTATTCATTGCCCTTGGAAACTAACTTAATCGTGCAATCATTGAAAATGAGCCCGAAATCTCTGTGAGATGGTAGTGGATGAGGCCGGGCGAATAATCTAATTGTTTTAGTTACACTGAAACAAATACTCTGGACATTTAAATTCCCGAAAAAGGCTGAAACTACATTAATTCACCGTCACTATAACTTGACTTATTGGAAATGAAGTTCTGTTGAAGGTAATAGGTTCACAAGTGCAAGTCTCAAATAGCAATTCAGTCCGGCGTGCAATTTAGCTCAAGCGTTAACATAATTAAGTTTAATCAGAAGCATAGATGATAGGCTTCTGATTTAATACAACGGTGAGAAATAATTGGAAATCGTTTCCTGAAGAAAATTTAGTTAAAATTGTACTGTTCTACGAGAAAACGTGGCCTTTCTGCAGACGATTTTCACCCATTGCACACCTACGACTGACATCGATATTATACGGCGATAGCTCATCCAATCAGATCAGAGCAGTTGCATCAGGTTGCAAGTACAAATCTACTAATTGTTAATCACGTGGCCAAATTTTTCAAAAGATGAGTCCCTTGGTGATAAATTGGGGAAATCTATCCAAAGCAAGCTCAAAAATGCCAGGGATACCGCAAAATTTTGATTTAAAGTTTTTTTTTGTTGTTAACCATTGACTCCCATGCCGCCCGTAACTGGCCATGACGAGCCTTAATCTTTGTTCGACTCCTGACGTCATCACCTTTGACCAAAATTAGCATTATCTATACTCAAGTTCTGCAAGAGGAAAAGATCTTTCCAATGCTACCCAGATCAGAGTGATCGGCTCAATGAAGCCTGAAATATGCACGAAAATGCTCAGAAATTTGAGTGAAAAACTCAGAGCAAAATTTCCTGCGACTACATGTGGCTACTCCATGGTAAAAATTGCATGTCTCGATGGTGCTTTCTCAGAATGTTTTGAACCGGAAGCAAGCCCGGTAGAAGGTCAATCACTGGAGCAAAAAGATAAGTAGAGTAGAAAAAGGAGAGGTGAAAAAAAAAGAAAAAAAAATTTAAAAAAACGAAAAGCCTAAAGACGCATGCCCGAGCAAAAATGTCGTGAAATGATAGTGGAAAGAAAGGCATGCTGTTATGTTACAAATATCTTTTTGAGTAGATTGGAGCTTATTTGGCCCATATCCAGCCTGAAAATTTCCAAAATGTCCAAAAAATGCGTTTTTGGCAAAAAAAAAAAAAAAAAAGAAAGAAAAAAATCCGGGAGTCAATGGGTTAATTAAAGTTCGCATTCGGTGCTAATTTCAGTTTCACGAGCTACGCAAACTTCAACTGAATATTTACAGAATACCAAAGATATAAAGTGAATACTTTCGTAAACGGGCATTCTCAGGGCCGCCTTCAGAAGAGTTTGACTAGGACAAACAAACAAGATTTTCCCAGAACAACCCGGCCAATCATACTTCGCCTTAGAGAGATGTCTGCCTTAGAGATACGTCTGCCTCAGAGAGAGTTTAGTTCAAGGCAAACAATTGAAATTCAGTTCGAATCAGGTAACCAGCTGTGATGCTCGCTTTCAGAGAGTACACTGTAATTAGACTGCGAGCAGTCTTTCTTTCCCTCGAAAATCCGCGGGGAAGAACGCAAAACAAGTAAGCGTGCGAGCGTGACGTGCGAGCGGCAATGCCGCTAGCCGCTACTGGCGCGGGCGTCGCACGTCACGCTCAGTCACGCTAGCACGCTTACCTGATTTGCGCTCTTCCCCAAGGCTTTCGAGGAAAAGAGAACCTGCTCGCAGTCTACACTGCAATGTAATGATGCAAAGTCGAAAAATTTTGCGAACGCTTTTGTCTTTTTATAGACCTTCTATTTTCTGTAACCACAGGAAACTGGGCAAGCTCGAACACAATGGGGTGTGAAGCAGAGTTGTACAAAGGGAAACAAATAAAGGGAAAGAGCGAGAAACGGCTGTGGAAGACTACCGTTTATACGCTCTTTTGTTGGGAGGGAAAAGGGGTAATTTACATCTCTCCATCCACAGTAATCAGGCAATTACACTAGTTTTGGTTTTACTACGGTTTGAGATTGGCTAGGAAATCTAACTGGTTTTACGGGGTTTTTTTGGTTTTACGGTACTCAATTGAAAACCTCTCGGCAAGGTTTCATTGGTACCTATAACCAACAATCAGATGGCTAAATACCAAGTAAATATCCTCTGCTATAACCCAAAAGTTTCACGTTCCCAGCACTTCCTACCCCCCCCCCCCCCAGCCCCCACCCCAGTGTCAAAAGCGCCTCACTAATCCTTGATTACTACCAGTAGTTCTCAAACTTGCTGGAAAATCTGAGAAAAGGAAAAAAAAGAAAAAAAAAGAAATAAATGGCGGATAGGTCTTCCTGTGAACGCACAACACCAAAGCTTGATTAAAAGTTTGGTCAGTTTTATTATACTCCTTCCTTTTTCTTCTTCTTTTTTTTTTCTTTTTATTTCGCTCCTGACATCCACTATGTGCATCATTCACCTATTTCCTTTAAACAGGATTCCACTACTTCAAATAACTTCGCTCTCAATCTGAACCCCAGAGTCCGAATTTATCTAGCCTGGTAACAGGCTCCCGGCGAGGAGGGAAAGAAATTCGGCGAGCGAAGCGAACCAACGAGCGTGAAACTGAAGAATTTGAATTCGTTCGCCGAATTCCTGTTTTTTCGCGTTCGCCTTGAGCCTGTTCGCAGGCTAGCTCTTATCGTAACCGTACAGTGTCCGTATTTTTGATACCCACCAAAAGAAAAGGGCTCTCTAGGGACAAGATTGAGGCTCCATTCTCCCCAGAGAAATTCTGGGAACGTGACTACATTAAATATCAACTTATTATCATTATTATTAATTTTTTACATCCTCCTCTCATGTAGTTATGATAATTATTCAGTTGCTTGTGTCACATGTAATGGTCAGCTTCGCCTTGCTTTCAAAGAGGAAAGAGGTCCTATCTTTTTTTAACAAAAAAATGGGTGAAATTTGATTGCGAAACGGTTTTAAAGCACAGAAGAAAAATCTTTTTTTTTTTTTTTTTTTTTTTCTCCATAAAAATAAAACGTTGTTTCTTGGCTTAACGTATTCAGTTGCCAACCTTGAGGATCACTTCATCGGAACTCCCTCAGCGGCTTGCGGTCGGAAGTGGAAGTTTGATTCCCTCCAAGACGACAAAGAAGCTTTCTTCCAACTGGATTAACTTCGAAATCCGCCCGAAGGCCATTTTTAATCTTTATTCCCAAGAGTTTCGACTGAATAAGACAATGGTACAAAGCATTCAAGTGAGAGGTGCAGTGGCCTCATGGTTAGCGCTCGCGACTCCGGATCGAGCGTTCCGGGTTGGAACCCTGGCCGGGGACATTGTGTTGTATTCTTGGGCAAAACACTTTACTCTCACAGTGTCCCTCTCCACCCAGGTGTGTAAGCGCTGGCCTGATGGGCCACTTGGCTCGTATGCAGAATTACAAAGCACTTGGGTTCATTTTACTTCTAGCACCGAAAGTTCTATCCAATGAGTTGGTGTTTTCTGACCATCCACCATTACCTTGCAGTGACATAATCTGTATTATTCCTCTGGCTAGAAATCAAGAGCGAATTACAAATTTCAAAGCAACAAAAATCGCACTTTTCGCTCAGATTTCGACGGCACACCACTTGGAAATTATATAATATTGATAACAACAGACGAAGCTCACGAATTTCCGCATCATTCCACGGCGAAAGCCTTCCATGTTGTTCGTTGTATAATCTAATCATGAAGTATCCTCGTCTTCCTCGTCTGATTCCGCTGGTGGGACTGGAAACTGGTTTCTGTGCTCCACTGCCCACGAATTTCGACGAGCTCTGATTTTAAACTCCTTCCATTTCTGGCCTGAGACTATAAGAATCACAAAAAAATCCTCTTTAAGAATAATTGGAAGGAGACAACACTCAAAATACTTGAAATGGCGTCCGATAACTGAATGCTACTAATCACTAAACTACTAATAATCACTAAGGGGAGCAACTACGGAAGCTGGGATGGCGCAGTGGTGAGAATGCTCGCCTCCCACAAATGTGGCCCGGTTTCCATTCCGGCCCGGTGCCTGGGCTGAGTTTGTTGTTGATGCTCGCCTTGCTTCGAGGGTTTTTCTCCCGGTTCTCCGGTTTTCCTTCCTCCCCAAAATTCAACGTCTCCAAAGTCCAATTCGAGCGGGATAGCGGACCAACATAAAAACCAGCGAAGGCTGATGTGGCTTCCTCTAAATATTGTCACTAAGGACACACAATATGTCAATTGCTCTTACCCAAACTTGATGTTTCCACCATTGATAATTTCCTCTCCTGGAAGGACTATTTCAAAAGAAAACACACATGTAATCGTGCCAATGTTCTCAGAGAAAGAACTCTCTGTACACTCGTTCCCAGATCTCTTGAGGACGCACGAAGAACTCGTCATTTTAGCGAGCAGTTTTAACCACAAGATCACGGTTAGGAAAATAGTAACATCAACGTTTACTAAGTGATTTTTGTCTTAGAGCACCACAGCTCATACGGCCTCCAACTGTTTCCATGCATTTAAGGTTTGTGTCAAACGTACACCGCTAGTTCAGCATCAGAAATGGCCGCCGTGTTGTGAATTCATTTCCGACAAGCGCTCTTGTGTCGCCTGCCTCATTTCTGACAGAAGATCACGCAATGTAAATCGGATTAGGCCAGGTCTTGCCCACAAAGGATGTGGAAACGAGATTAAATTTTCCCATCTCACGGAACTAGTTTGATTTAGCCGTCAAACAAGCGAATAGGAGGTGACAGCTAACCTACATGATTAATAGCCTCCATAACACGATTGGGAAAACACTAATCCCATGATCTAAGCTATCACTTTGATTTGCGGCACATTCGACAGGAATTTAGTACACCTGGCATTAATCTATTCAATTCTATGTCAGTAGAGAATGAAACATGTCTGGTCGCTCAGAACACGTCTAGGTTTCTTCACACAGGTGTGAATGTTGTCTTGGAAAGCTTGACAAGAATCTCATGGGCATGCGGGGACTAAAAACAGGTGCAGTTATTTCTGATATGTCTAGGCCCCTGATTAGTATTTTCTCTGCTCACCTGTTTAGGTTCCTTTTGCGCCGCTACACACATGATAGACAAGGCTTGCTCCATGGCTTAATCATGAAGAAAATAGAAGAGAGTCAGTAATACGAAAATACAGGAACAACTTCTGAACTTGAGGAGTCTTTTTGAAAACTACTGTGCAGTTTGCCTGTCGCCATGTTACCTTGAGTATGCCTCTGCAGATAAGAGGTTTAGTCAACAGGTCAACGTCGTCTGCAATAGCAAACTCGTTCCCAGGCTGTCTTCTTCCCGCTCCGGGCGCGAAGAAGAGAATACCTAGGCGCTGAACGACGCTGCTGCAGTTGCTGTTGTTCCAGTCCTCAGACGGTTTGACATGTAGACGAGGTGGCCAGGTGACTAGCCCCTTTCGCCTCGTTCATATCGCAACCAAAATTATCGCAGGCTCAGCTGTAATCAACCTGAGCAATTACATCGAAATAAACCGCGGATTTAGGGAGCGAGTCAGGTAAAAGGAGCTAAGATCGCACCGTGAGTAAATACACTAATACCACGAGTAAACATTAAGCTTGAGTTTATCATTCATATGATAAACAGGCGAAATGTAATACTCACTACGAAGACGAAGTTCGACTTTACGCAGATTTCGGAATATCCCAGCTATCTCCTGCAAGAGTAAAGATATTCCATTAATAGTTTCCAAACCAGCGAAGTAGAAACCTTTAAGTTTCAGCCTGGACTTAAAACCCTCCAACGCCAAACTTGAAATATTAACTACCTTAGCTGATCGACAGGTCTTGAAAACAAGATGACGATAAGTTTAAAAGAAGCTCAGTCACGCCATTTTGAGGTATTTTGGCCACGTACAAAATTACCTTTAAATTGACGGAGACCTAAAAATAGTAGTTTACTAAGATAGAAAAACACCGAAGAGACAATAATGACCCATAAAGGAACAAGGATGGTTAAGGGTGGAGAAGATTGACACGGATTACAAACGACGAACTTGAAAAATTTAGGCTTAACGTCTCAAGATGGGCAAACGATGACGTAGCTCCTTAACCTTCACAAACTAGGGGCCAGTTCATACCGCGTGAGAGCTCTTCCAATCCGGTATAGCACTCTGGGATTCCTGCTTACTGTCAGACTCAGTTCTTGATCTTGTTGTGCCGTTCAACTCTTCACTTCCGTCATACAGACTCCTAAGATCGATCAAATTGCGCAAAAATATGCAATAAGTCGTTTCTACTCCTCACAGAAAATATTGATTTTTTTCATCAGTTATTTTAAAAAGGCTTTACGCATTTAAACATTTTAATGTTGTGTTTTACAGTTCTGCCGAGGTACTCTGTTTGTCACACAACGGTATCTCAAATCATAGCCTTGTGGGACAGTTTTCTACTTTCTGGTCCTTTTGTCTGTCACACAACGCATCTCTGTAACAGAACATGGCCTTGTGTGCAGAGATAAGAGGCGTAAGACCTGTTCTTCAGCATGCAACACATCGAGCAAGTGCAATCCTGGATTCAGAAAATAGAGAGGCTTGGACTGATTGCAAAACAGCTTCCTGACCCTCGACGTTTTCTGACTGCCAAGATGGCTGCTTGATACGCGTATAAAATTATCCAGCTAACGCCCAGCAAAAACACTGCGATCAGGCGGCGGTTGAGGGGAGGATAAAACGAAAAATTGCAGATTATTGCATTACAGGCTACAGTTGTGTGACCCCTTGGTCTCCTACGCAACCGTCACTTTGGTTGTCACGCAACGCTCCGCTCTTGATGAGGAGGGGTGTTGTGTGACGATCCAGGTAACAGTGCATAGAAGACTAGCGTTACCTAGGCGACGAATACTTAAAAAAGGCGATGGCAGTGGTAACGTACTTGACTTTCCCCAGCACTGATTCAGAAGCTAGCCGTAATTCCACCGAGAAGGCATGAATCGACGAAAGCATCAGATCTTCCACAGGCTGAAACACAATGACGATAAAACCAAAACAAAAAAACAACACAAAATGCGTCAGAGATTTCTTTATGGTAATTCCTGGTACTGCACCGTACAGTACTGTTTACTGTTTACTGTAGTAATCAAAGATCCATTCGTTGATCAATATCGTATTCTCCTGAATTGAACAATTGAATTTGAATTGAAACTTTAAGGAGAAATTAGATTCTGGTAACGTACGCGTAGTATGAGGACCGTTTATAAACGAACTGTCTCTAAAAGAACTCAATCACTTCAAGGAGCACCAATTTTCCAAGAACAGAAAGAACAAAATTGGGAGGAGTATCCTAGTAGCTCTGGCACGTATAAGTCTCCCAGAAGCGCACGTCAGACGTGGGCTAATGTCTGTGGTGTAGTGCTAGTCAAATGTAAGTTGACAGTCTCGGTAAGCATTGCCCCCTTGCATACGTTTTTTTTTTTTCTTTTTTCCTTTTTTTTTTTTTTTNTTTTTCTTCTTCTTCTTTTTTCCTTTTTTTTTTTTGTGAAAATTGAAAGGTTTAGGGTCCCATATTCTCACGAATTTGCAACGGATTCTTAAGAAACTTGGCAAATTAACTAAATTCGGCATGATAAATTGATCTATTGAGGTTTTTTCGGTATTATTGTTTACATAAAAAATTGTTGATGTTGCGTGATATCGGTTTAAAGGTCCATTGCCCTTACCTTGTCTGTCACACCCCACTGTCTCCGGCTTTGTGGAGAGGCGGCTCCCCCCTTGAAATCAAACATTCTCCTAGCTGCAGAACTCGGAGTTAAAGGAGGCGAGGGGGAGTTAGCAGGTGCCGCGGACACGACTGAATCGGGCGACATAGGTCTACCCTCCGCTGTGGAGGATCGCGACCCCCCGGAACTATCGTCGGCGGAGTCGCTCGGTGGTTCAAAAGGCTGATCAGAGACGGGGGGTGTATACGAATGTGTCTCGAGAAAGGGCGCAAAAGGAATGAGTTTGCTACGCAAGCTGATTCCTCGAGTGTTCGTGGATTCTAGTTTTATCTCCTTTGGTTCTCTACTTGACGGCGACGTTGGTAGTGCGTTCTTATCGAGAATTTCTTTGGATTCAAGTCCGTTCTCGCTACTGGAGACCTTGCCTTCCAAGGGCTGCACGGAGCTGTCTTCGGGAGATGACACTGGTACCTCCTCATTCCCTTCATCTTAACAACAACAACAACATTATAGCTCAGTTAGTTATAGCTTTAAGAAACCTTTTGTGAGAATGTGACATGGTTCGTGTTCCTGTTTCATTCATATGAAAAGTAAGAAGGAACAGTTCTGAATCATGAATTAATCAAGGTCTCATAATCGAGTGAGAAAAAAAAAGAAACGAAATGAAGTATCAATTTCGCACACGACGCATTTTGTTTACTAATCATCCCTTTCTAATAAAAGTTTAGGGAATTGTGAGCAAAGCCTTTCACAAAAATGCTTCATACATACTGTAATGTTTCGTACTCGTAGAGGAGATTCTTACCTTTAAAGCGGGGCATTAATTCGATCAGCGATAGCGGAAATGGAGGGGGTAGGGGAGGGGGGGGGGTAAGAGAGTATAACATTTTTCGCCTTCCCTACAATGCAGGCTACTGGCGGGAGCTAGGGGTACTACATTTGTGGCAACTTTTTGGTGCTCGCTTCTTCTGGAATTCTACGGTATTTTTCAAGCCACGGGCCTAAAATAAACCAAAGGCAAGAATTTCACGTAAAAACAGAAAGAACTTAAGTAAAGAGATTATTCCGAATAAAAACCGCATGGCAACAAGCAGAAAGAAATACTGTAGTTCGACAAAGTAACTAATATAAGAGGTGCGGGTAATAGAATGGAACGGCCCTTACCAAGAACAAATGTCTTATTTACTCTATCATCTCGCTTCATCTGAAGCGACTCTGGCAGAGGACAGACTGGCCCCGAAGTGAAGATCTCATTAACCGCCTCCTGAGTGACGTCATCTGCTGGTGAACTGCATACCGCTTCACCATCAGACTTGACACCATTCTCTCCTACCTCACGGTCATCATCAACCGCGGAGGACTTGGTCGACCTTTTCGTGCTAGGACTCCATACTCTGGCGGAAGGCGACGACGAATCGTTTCCAGAGTTGGTCAGCGGGGAATTCTTTGGAATCCTTACTTTCGCTAAAGTCGGAGATTTGTTCTTAACGCCGCTATTCTTAACAGCTTCCCTGCTATTATGCGCCCTCAACATAGCAGTTTTGTTGGGACGAGGGGTCGAGAACGGTCGCTTCCCCTCCTTTTCAGGGATAAGCTGAACCCCTTTCTTGTCAGATTCATCGTTCTTTCTCCGGTAATCTTTGACCTGTCTGCTTTGCGAGACATCACTGGAATCCATATCACTATCGTCCGAAGTGCTGCTAACTGGGCCCCGCCTCCGTGGGCTGTCGCTTGGTTTCTTGTCTGACTCGCTGGCAGTAGCAGCAGCAGGGTAGGAGCGCCGTACAGGAGCAGACATGGTCTTGCTTCGGACCACTCTGAGGGAAGCGGAAGTCTTCGGAGACGAAGCCAGATTGGCGGAAGATAAGCTCTGGCTTCGCATCACAGCTGACTGCAAACAGAAAAAAACAGGTGTAAACTGTTGGTAAATTGACATAGTTCCCTCGAGCGCGGTGAATATGTAATTCAAGAGCACTTGAGAGGGAAGGAAATGCGCAAAACGAAACTTCAACAAAGTGCCTTTCACGCTGTTCTGATTGTCTGTCACCCAAGACATAAAACTCAAAAGTTCAAAGCGGTTCTCCACAATCCGACAGGCAGGAAAAAGGTTACGCATTTACGCACCTTTCAGACTGGGGAATGCTACTCGCAACCTGTCTCGCGATTTTGCCACGCTGTTGCAACACAAGTTGCAGAGGACGTTGCGGCGTTGCCGTACTCTCTGCGAAACTTAGACCTTGATTCTGCTTCGTGCGAAGCTTGCTACAACGAAAACTTTGCGAGACATGTTTATTCCAAGATGTTCTTCTAATCGTTTTAGACTATTGCGAGTATGACGCGCATAGTACGCGCGTGAGTATGCCGCGAAACACACAAGTCCGATTTTTTCGTGCGTCCAACTCTTTCCCCGCTCAAGAGAATCCCGAGATTCGTCCCGAAGATAAGAAAGTTATAAAAAATTTTCAGTTCGACGAAACGCGAGGTTTAGAAATAAATGACAATTCTTTTAAAAATGTTTTGATACGTGAACAGACCTACCTTACGAGGCTTACTTAAACTTTCAAATGAAATTGACATCAAGAAAACAAAACAAAAAACAAAAGACAAAACTCGATCAAAATATTGCGCATCTTAAACAGCGTAAATGAGGTTTTCGATAGACAAATTTCTGTTTTTCAGATAAACATCACCTCTATAGTTCAATATATCACGCCGAATTTAGTAAATCGACGAGGTTTCATAAGAATCTGTTGCAAACTCATAAAATATGAGACCCCAAACTTATGCAAAGAAATGTAAGTCAGGGGTCAAGCGTTGCCCCTTGTAATACATTCCTTTGTAAAACTTGGCCATTTTGGTGTCCCATATGTTTAGGAGTTTGCAACGGATTCTTATAAACTTCGTAGATTTACTAAATTCGACATGATAAATCAAGCGGTGCGATTTATTTTTTGTTTGAATGAAAAAAAATCGGGAAAGCGTGACATTGGTAAAAAGGTCTATTCTTCCGTACTTTCGTGCGGGGTTGAACGTCAAAGACTCGGCTCTCCGCATTATCTCATGACTTGGTTTGATTTTTCAAGTTTCCTATGCGAGAGAAAAATTGCAGATAAACTTGGGACTTGTCCAGTATCTAGATGCACTGCTAAAATCCATTCTGTGACTTACCGGTAAACGGCCATCCATGAAAGACTTAACTGACAGAGCAGAATGCAGAGGCGAACAAGAGCAGCCCGTTGCTCTTGTGTTCATATTACAATTTCTAAGAAGTGTCACTAGCCCAAAGTTCTCTGTCATGCTAATAAAACAATTGATGTCACACTCCAAAAAAATCTAAAAATGGCCGCGTTTTAAAGTTTGTAAAAAAAGGTCTCGACAGAAACTTCTGCCATCGTCACTTGATTATAATGCCCGTGCATAACAGCCCTTTCACTGAGTGACATGAAGTTCCCTGTCGTGTTTACATTCAGATATCGAGTCATTAAGTCGCCAAAATGTAAAAACGAAACTGGAATAATTTTAAGGAAAAAAGGCAACCATTTTTAACTTTGTAGCGCATGTTTCGACGATGACAATAGCAATTGTAGCAGCTTTTCTTGCAAATTTGAAAACAGCGACGTCCTTTTCTTGAGAACTATTACGAAGATTGTGTCTGTGTAAAATTAGAAGTACATGTTGTTTTAGATACATGGGTGTGGAGATGTTGCCCGAAAAGCGGCAAAACTTTGCTTCCTTTGAGGTCTGAAGAGTGTACATTTCCCGGGTACATCTAAACTTTCCTTTTGGCCTGTGTGACGATCTGTTTACAAGCTATTGATTATACGAGGTCTACTTACCGTGTTTGTTCGCGATGATGCTGATCTCGGTCTGCTGAGACTCGGCGATGAAATGCTCTTGACAGGCTTGGGTATGTTCTCTGTAAAATAGCGAGGAGGACCACAATTTAAGTAACATACGAGTACCTAACCGGCGTTTTTCGTTTTCTAGATAATTTCTAATGGTTAACCCTTTACCCCCTTAGGCAAACGACAGTTTTTCCTAAATCAACAAATAAAGGTTCTCTGCCTGTGTACAATATACCATTTGAAAGCCACTGATCAGCTTATTTAGGAACTGAAATCAGCAACTATGAAGGAGGTAGTCATTTTGAGAGAAATTGTTTTGAAATGTGAAAATGAAAAGCTTCCAACACTTATCAATTCTCAAATATCATAGGTATGCCCCCGAACTGTAGCTTATTTAGTAGGTCTTAGTACATAGCTTGATGTGAAACAAGTTTTGCATTCCATGCGCATCTCGAAAAAGAAATTGCAAAATTATGGGGGTGGTCAACCATATCTTAGATAGGAGTGGGTCACAATTTTATGCCTTCAATGAGCAGATCTTTACAAGGCAATTTTCGTGGCAAAAATTCATAGAAATCTCTCAAAATAATATTCACAAAGTTATGATGCTGTGTGCCAAATGGCACTCTGAGCAGCGTGCTCAAAATAGTTAACATAATCATTTCTTATTTCGCAGCGGTGGTACTCAGCCTGAGAACACAGCCGCCGGCTCTCATAGCTCCGGGGCCCGTTTCTCGAAGGTCCCGAAAAGTTTTCGCACCTGGAAAGCTGTAGTAAAATCTCAAACCTTATGATTACAGAGCTGTTTTATTCCCATATTCGTAATATGAACAGAGGTTCTTTTCATACAAGAAGTTTCAGGCGTATACACCTTTCTGTTTTCAAATGCAAATTAGCGAAAAATGGCTTCGTGGTCCTAAAATTTCCGGGGCATTCGAGAAAAGAGCCTCAGCACCGGGTCTGGCGTTTTGCGAGAATGATGTTCTCGCTGTAAAGAGTCTTCATCGTTTTTCGGGATCTATGAAAGACAGTAAAGTAAGTAAAGGCGGATGTGTTCGCATGTTACCGACCCTCTCCTCAAAATTAAATAGAAAAGTGAAAAAACCACAAACAATTAAACAAAAAAGAAAACGGAGAAAATATAGACTCCCCCTCCCCCCCCCCTCCCTTTTCTTTTCTCTTAAGAAGAGCGAAGAAGAAACTACAGGATAATCTGTACAACATAAAACCGTTGTGTGACAACAATTAAAAGCGCGCGGTTGTTACAAGTATAACGTCATGACAGGAGCCATAATCGGGGACGGAGACCGTAAGTCTCGGGATTCGCGCGCACCTATGATATGGGACAA